AAGAGGGGGCACCGCAGCCCTGGGAACAGCAGAGGCCCCTCCTCCAGAGGGCCCTTCCTGGGCACAGGGGCGTGGCCCTGACCCTCACCCAGAAACGCACAGGTCCGGCTTACTGTGCGTGCCCCCGGGGGCCTTCCTGTGCACCTGCCTCCCCACCCCACCAACCCCTGCCCCCGCCAGGAGCCAGGTTCACAGTTCAGAGTTAAGTTCACCGACCACCGACCTGGGGGCAGTTCTAACTCCAGCCTGTGGTCTCATGGCCCAAGCACTGGGATGTAGTCTCGTGTCCCCAGGAGCAGCCTGGACGGTCACCCCTAGTGTGACCTACTTACCGATAGTCAGCTGTGTCCTGTACGTCAGGATGCAGCGGGGGGACACAGAACCCAAGCGAGAAGACACCCAGGAACGACCCCTGATGGCCTCCCCAGGAAAATGCAACCGGGGGAAGCCGGGGGCTTCCGGACCGTTCTGGGAGCCGCACCCTCTAAGAGGGATGGATCCCAGAGAGGGGTTGTGCTCTGCCACCCAGCCTCTCCAGTGCTGGGGCCTGAGCCAGGACAAGGCTGGACACACCCCCAGTCGCCTCTCCTGGCTACTCGTCACTGCTGGGTCTCTGCCGCTGGTGGGGTGGGCGGAGGGGGGGCCGGTCAGCGGGAGGGCCTGGGTGTGGATGCCCGGCCGCCCCGGTCACCCAGACCGACGCCTCTCTCCGCACGTCACGCACGTCACGGGGGACATGGCCCCAGGCTGTGTGGGCTGCATCTGGGCCCCTCTGCCAATCTTGTGGCTGTGAGTCAACACTGGGGTTCCTGGAGGGAAGGGAGGGTCTGTTTGCTGGTCGACACTTGCTAATCTCTGCCTTCCACTGGGACACTGGGGCCCCTTCTGCTGTGTTAATCCTGAGCAAACCAGGCTCCGTGGCTTGCCTCTGACCTTCTCTTCTGTCCACACCTGCCCTGCCTGCGCTGGGGCCACGCTGGGCCAAGCCTGCCCCCGCCCCCACCTCAGCGGGTTCCAGAATCTCCCTGCTGCTTCTTCTCTCCCATCCAGGGCTGCGGGCAAGGAGAAGGGAGAGGGAAGGTGGGGAGGGGGAGGCACCTGCCCCGGGACCTGCCGCAAGGCAGGGCCCCCGGAACCGAGGGCCCGTGCACGCACATCTGACGCCTCCTTGGGCTGGCTCTGCCCTCGAGATGCAGTGGCTGCCCCTCCGCTGTCCCGTTTCCTCCTCCCCCACTGCTTCCCTTCCCCTCTGCTGCTCAGAAAGGAGCTTTCTGGAGAACATTTTATTTTGATGTGGTTTCAAGTTTATGGGTACAGATAGCAGAAAGAGCTCCTGTCTGCCTTTATCCAGATTCACGGATGTCTGCACCTCAGTCTCTCGGCTTTGCTGTTTCCTCTCGTGTGTGCGTGCACTTGCCCACCGTCTGTATCCACGTGTGTTTTCTAAGCCACATGGGTTTGAGAAGCATGGCCTCCGCCCCTCCATAGGTGGGTGGGTGTCTCCTAGAGACAGGCCAGGGGTCTCCCTCAGCAGAGCCAGCAGGGGCATGCCACGCCCTCTAAACCAGGGCCCTCTGTGGTCTTGAGCCGGTCATGGTCGTCATGGCCGCACATTCTCCAGGATTCGATCCAGGACCACAGGTCCTCAGCCTTTCTCTGTGTTCCTTGACCATGGCCTTTTCGAGGGGTGCAGGCTGGTTATGTCGGACGGCACCCCCAAATCCGGGTCCGTGTGCAGCTTCCTCCCCCTAGGATGGAAAAATAACAGTAAAGCTGTGCCCTCGGGGCATGGCTTCTGGAGGCTCCCAACGTCAGGCAGAACCATCGCCGGGATGGATGTCCACCTGCATCACTGGGCTCAGGGTGCGTGGGCCAGGTCTCTCCACTGGAAGCCACCCATGTTCCCTGGAACTGGGAAGGGTCTGATGGGCGGAGCTGGGGGGCCCGTAGAGAGCTGGGCGCCAGCCCGCCTCTCTAATCCCTCCCGCTCTCCTTAGTTGGCATTCCGATGCGGGGAGACCTTCCTCTTCTTTCCCATTTGTTTATCTTTCCTTGATTCATCTATATCAGTAAAAGCTCATGAACTTCTATTTGCGGTGTGAATCTATTTAAAAATATAAACCCATCAGGAAAAGAGGGGGCTGGGAAGCTCTAAGCTTCTGTTCCCCACAGACACACTGGCACAAACAAGGACGAGGTGAGCCAACTTTGCCACAGCTCGAGACCATCAGAGGAGTGCAGAAACCAAGCTAGTGTCCCATCAAGAAAGGGCTGTCTTCAAAATGATAGGAAATCTTCGGGGCATTTTTTCCCATCCTTGCCCCACCTCCACCCCAGTGCAGTGGCAGTTTTGGCCTTGGCCTGGCAGCCCAGTTTCCCATTATTCCTCCCCCAAAACCAGAAGGAGCAGAGAATGCCTTGTCTGCAAATTATTGTGTACGTCTGTTCTAACCTGTCTGGTGGGTACCTGAAGGGCTGACACAAGGTGCTCATCTCCGTTTTGCTTAACTTGGGACCTGGGTGGCCAAAGCAGTGGGTGCAGCTCTTGTAAGCCTCTAGGTGACCACAGACCCACAGATTCCTGGAGCAAGAGGTCACAGGTGGAGGCACGCAGTGGTCCACCTTCAGCCTGCACCGATTCAAGTGGGGCTCTTCGGGAAATCAGGACGTGAAAGCAGCTATGTGCAAATGGGAGTTTGGAAAGCCACATCCTTGTTCGGGCGAGAGCCCCGGGCTCAGAGCAAGCCTGCCCGAGTGCTGAAGACCCGT